CAGTATAAGGCAGAAGAGCACAAATTTAGTGATGTGTTTCTGAAAATTCAGCTTTCTTAGCACGAGTTCAAAACGCACTTAGCTAATAGACCTGCTTGTCTCTGTTCTGATGCGTTCCTTTGAAGCACTATTCCCTCACGGCTGCTTCTTACATATAAGATTATGGGCTTTTTTTTTTTCCCTACAGTATACAAATCACTCTGGAAATGCTGAGCTGCAGTTATAACCCATCTCTGCATACTGGTTTTTGCATCTAGCTGCTGTGTGATGGCACACGAGTTCACTAAACTAAGCAGTCCCATCCTAGTCCTAACAGAAAATACACCAACTAAAATACAATATAAGAGACATTTTCATAAATATAGATCAAATCTATAATCTCAGAATTAATAAGCTAAAAGAAGCAAGCTTTTTTTTTTAAAAAAAAAAAAAAAAAAACAGAATAGTATGTGTGTATTCAACTGTATCTTTGTATCTTATCTCTAATTTCACAAAAAATGTAAATCCCTAAGAACAATTTATACCCAGATCACAAATATCTTCTCTCTTAGAAAGAAATACCCAACAGCCAACGCCAACAGAAGCAGCTGAGGAAAGGGAAAGCACCTCCTGACAGCGCTGCAGGAGCCTGGGACGATTCAGCAGCACGTGGCTCGATGACTGCCTGCATTTAGCAGCGACTGATACAGTTTTCTTCTACAAAATTGTCAAGCTGTCCTTTGAGCTTTGGCATCCACCCCAAGCTGTGCAAACACTGACGCCCAGGCGTTACCTGCGCTGCATTAAGGGCAGCCTTAATGCCCAAACAAAGACGTTTGGAGGCTGCCAACCCCCAGCTCTGCCCCGCACCCTCTGGCTGTGCTGTGAGAGGACGCGGTGAGCTGTCACGTCCCACCTACCATCTCCGTGCCACCCAGGATTTTCTGGGCAGTTTCACTCCTTTCTATTGACTAAACCTAGAAGCGAAGCTAACAATCACCAGAAGCTCCATTCCCTTTATGAGAACGCTATGAAATCCAAAAAAGACATACAACAACTCAAAAACTAGAACAAAAGAATGGGAGCCATTGCTTTCAAGGAGATAAAGAAGGGGCAAAAAGGTTACCGTGATTGCCAAATAGTAACAGAATCTAATTGAAAATGCCTCATTAACAGCACAGCACAAGAAGAGTGAAATCTGACCAGACCTCTCATTCTGAGACTGGAAACAGGCTTGATCCTACAGAGCACCAAATGCTCAGACCTCGCCTGACCAAAGCACCAGGTCAACACGCTTGCATTTTCAGAACACAAACACTGCCATCAAAGCTGGAGTCTGTGCACGGCTCCATCGGGTTTTCATTAAGACCAGCACATTTTTCTGAAAATTCAGAGCAAGACCTCTCAAGCTTTTGCTAAGCCTGCTATACTTAAAAGCCCATTTACAAGTAGTTCCACTTTCTACAGAAAAATCTTTATGAGGACTTGTGAGGACTGCAAGCTCTCAGCAGCAGTTTGTATAACCTAAGCTGTGTGAATCGCTGATGTCCAAACCAGCTCAAAAGGGTCCCCATTTTATCAAGTACATGGCATAGAACTGCAACAGTGCTCTGAAAGGTAAATGAAGCTAAAGCAGCCAGCAGCAGTTTGTGGTGCAGTGTCAACCAATGCAAATGGCAAAGCTTCCCCAGAGAACATTTGCTTTCATGCAAGTTGTGATTTCAGTTTCTGAGCTTTTCAGTTGAAGCGAAGGGCATGAATTGTAGGCTCTGAATGTGCCTCTCATTTTCCTAACCATCTTTTAGGAACGGTGCCATGGCAGACACTGGAAAGCGTGTCCACTGACAGAATTTTTTGTGCTTTTAAAGCATCATTTTGGAACATTTACAACTGACTATTCTTTTTCTTATTAAAACGTCTGTTGCCTTAAATGTCTACGAATATGCCACATTTGAGTACAATCAAGCTGCAGACGTAAACACAGAAGTGGAAAATTACAAAATAGGTGAAGAATCTGATTTTTTAAAAGTCAAAGTTCTGTTTCTGTTGAACTTCTCTCAAAAAAAAATCGCTGCTGGGCTTTTAAATAAGGAATTGCAAACACATTTATAAAAAAGAGTGCTAAAATCAAATTTTCAAACAAGAGAGCACTCAACGCGCAATTTGCAGCACATTTTCGAAGCCAGCTTGTAATCCAATGAGCAGTTAACAGAAACACTTTACTCCACCCAAAATTTCCTCTCTTTCAGAAGTCCAATTACTAACTTCAATAATTTATCTCCTTTTACATATCTTTTGGATTTTTCCTCTTATTAGTGTGCCAGGTAAGCATACAGAGATAAGACAGCAAAAACACAAGTATGCCATAATTCTCACACACACAGCAATCTGCAGTGACACTACTGAGAAGCTGAGATCCCACTACGATTTTGATTCTAGACTTGAGACTCTTGGAATGTACTAAGCTGTTCCACAAAGCTCATTTTTCTTACAGGAAGTGACCTAACATACAAAGTACTTCACAGTTTTCAATCAACAGAAATACAGATATGAATGCATTAAGCCAATATCTATAAAGCAAGACATGAGGTCACTTCCTGACAACTAATATCTAAAATTGACATTTGTTACTGCAAGAAGGCGTGCTTATGAAGTGTGAGATGAAACAAGAACTTTGTATTTTTACAGAGCGAATATGTTGGCTGTGCTACCTCTGCAATCATTGCTGATGCATAATCCCTTCCCTGCCACTCCCCTGCACGTCACCCTCCAATTCATGTCCTGCCTCCCAACGCCACCTCGTTCCAGTACAGAGCTGGGAATTAGAAAACAAGCTTTTAAAAAAATAAAAAAAAACTTAAAAGAATATTGGCACATTCAGAAATCTTTCAGTGGGAAAACCAAAACTGAATTCGACAGCGCAACAGCAAATTTAAGCATGCTGCAAGTTTGGGTGCCTTTTTTTTTTTTTTCCTTCCATCAGTAGGGAGGAAGGAGCTGCTGGGTTTTCACAGCAGCGTGACAAAACCCCCATCACAAGCTGAAAGTGGCCTCCAGCAAAGGTACTGGTGCAGGAGGAAGGGACAGCTCTGATGGTAATGGAAAGTCTTCTCCACTGCAGGAGGCTCATAGGTTCAGAGTATTAAATATTTACAACGTGCAAAAGAGTTCGGTCTGTTTTGTAACAAGCGTGCAACCCCCACAGCACTTCGAGTAAACTGGCGAAACGCTGACAGAGCTTCTACATGCAGCACTCTGAAAACTGGCAGTGCTAAGGGTAGTGAGCAATGCCAAGTGCCAGGCCCATCTCAGTGAGAAAAGGAAAGGCCAAAACCTGAGAGGGAGCGTGAGGCTGCAAGACGTGCCAGCCCAGCCCAGCCGCACACAGCAGCAGCAGCCATGCCCTGGGTGTTTTTCTCAGTGCTCGCATTCTCTCACTGAACAATCGTAACCACAGAGTAAGCTGTAATACAGAAATCAAGCCACAACTTGCTTTAATGTTGAACCAAAACTGTGATGACTAAGAAATAAAGCCAATGTTGCTGAACTGGCTACGGCTGCCTTTTCCGTAACAGGCAGAAATGTAGGTTGATTGTTATCATTTACGCTGGAGTTCAACATTTTTCCCTTTAAGTTTCCAAGTCTGGCTGCTCGGGAGCTATTTGTGGCACAAGTACTGATTTCTGACTAAGTTTTACGCTTCAGTGTTCAGCTCCTAGACACGTTCCTCAGTACAAACAGGGGTTCTCCAGTGGCACACACTTAGCCAGTGTGCAGAGACAGGAGAGTGTGCTGTAATTATTCATCTGCCTTCCGTAGCTTGCTGAGCTGCACAGCGGTGATGTTCAGCTCTGATAAGCAACGTAAAGAGACAGTGTATACATTTAAAAATAATTGACTTCAAAACCTTATGAAAACACTGTGATGAGAAAACAAAACAAAGAAAACATGCAGAAATCCAGTTTGACTAGGTGCAAACTCAACTCAGTGCAAACAATCTAGGCTTACAGTAACTTCCTAGAGAAACAGAAGAGTCCAAACTTGAGAGTCAGCAATCTCCTATGTATCACAAACAGCTCAACTGCTTAAGTAACTCTGTCTCTCTTACCCAGAAATCCTTCCCATAAGCACAGTCACACAGCACATTATAAGCAAGATCTTTCAAGTCCTCTGAGAAGCTCAGTGACTGCCAGTACTGGCAGCTGGGTACATCTTCCTACCAAGGAGCACCAACAGTGGTCTATAAGCACTGATGATGGAAATCAACTTGCTCACAGAATTTTTTCCCATAATTAGCATTTTATCCAGAGAACTCTCTCCCTAAATATGAAACTGATAATACACACAAGTGTTTTTAAAACAGTTTTCAGTAAGATTTACAAAACTGATACAAAAATAAAGGCTGTGCTTACAAAGTATATAAGTTAGATGCAAACTCCAGATGGAATAAGACCTCCGGAGAATAAAAATATCAAACCAGGAAGGAAATTTAGCTACACTGGATAGTTCATCAATGTAAATTCTGTGCAGGTCAAACTTTCTAAACCAGAAACCAGAGCAACTTCACGCCAAAATTTCTATACATAAAAGAAAACATTCAACAAAGTTCAACATTAAATACTGTCTAAGTGATAAGGTACATTCTTTTGAGTATGTTGTGAGAAACAAGGGCTTAAAATTATGACTGTATTGGTTTTTGTCTTTTCAAAACCACAACCTACATGAGATTCTGAAAATGACCAGGAAAGCATTTACTTCAGTCTGTTACTCCCAACCTATGTTGCAAACACTCTACTGTATTGCAGCAGGATTGCTTTATGGACCAGGAAGGATTTTAATTGTTTTAAAGTAAGATTGTTTAAAGACGTAAGCATTCTTTGCAATTTCAAGCGTGAAGGCGCCTTGAGCAGAACACCAGTCATTCTACATCCACCAATCAACTACTTATTCTTAAATTTACTCCTCTTACCAGACATTTTGAATAAGTCATCTATTTTCCCTTCCCCAATCTCTTGACATACCTATGGTTTCTGGCAGGTCCAAGAGCTCATTGTGCTGCAAGTCAAGGTTGGTGATCTGCGTGCAACTTCCAATCTCTTCTGGAAGATGTTCAAGCTGATTGTGCGCTACATCCAGCGTTATGAGGTTACACAGCTCACCTGAAAGCACACAGCAAAATCCAAACATCAAGATCTCCAACATACAGGCCTAGTTTCACACAACGATTGATGGTAGCAGAAGGATTTCATTATAATGAAAAAAATAAATCACCTATTGCTTACTTTATAAAGTAAGGCCTTAGGGGATTGTAATTTTATCAGTCAGCTCTAAAACCTGATTAGTAATTTTTAAAAACTTGGATAAAGCTTTCTATAGTCTCTGAAGAAACTTTACTGGTTTTCTTTTGACAGTTCAAGCTGTAGAATATAGGAATATAAAATCCATACTGCACACTTGTTTCATGTTGACCAAAAATACAGAACCTCAGTGAGTGGCTGTATTGAATTACAAGAAATCAAGATCTGCTTGTACAGCATATACTACTTTCAGACAGAAAATCAATACTTAAGAGATAGCTAAATTATTCGGCTGACATTTTTCATCATTTCTGGTCATCAAAAAAGCCAACTGTAAAACCAACTATACAGATTATTACACATCGTATACATAAGCACAAGTATAGCCAGTGAAAGTTTGAACCAAATGACATCTGTTAAGCCTTAGAAAGGACAGGACTTGCTTAGAGCTCAGAGCAGCTTCACACTGAACTGTTTCACCTCTGACTTTTACATCCAATCTCCAAGTACAACTAGGCACAGCTCCCAAAGCACAGTATTTCCACCTGTTTTAATGACAAACGCACTGCGTTCTGAGCAACAGTTTGCTGGCTTTAAGAAAACGTGAACATGCATGAACACAGGTGCAGACATCTGTATTTTTGGGAGCTGGCAGATGTGAAATTTATGGAAATAGTTTGAATGACTTCAACTTTATTCAGTAAAGATCAGGTCACTGTTTCTACGTACCAGAGCATCATGCAGACAGTAGCAAACTTGGAAGAGCAGCAAATTCCTTTTGAGGGGTGAATGTCTATTTTTAAGTTTGATAACTTTAGCACAATCCTCTAAGGATTTTCCCACAAGCCTGCAAGTTCTGATGCACAGACTGTTCACCCAATAGCTCAGTGTGGGATGACAAACACTGATTTATTAAACCATAACAGATTTACAAACTCAGACTCTGTTTCTGAGCTGCAAGTGGCATTTATCCACAATACTTAGTATGTATCTTAGAACAGTTGTTAAAGGCCAGCCAAAAAAAAAAAAAAAGAAGTTTTGCATAAACTGATCCTATTTCTTGTATTTATTGATCCAAACTAAGATGTTTTTTCTAGAAGTTAGGCACATGAAAATGTAAAGGTGACACTTAACTGTCACCTCCGTCACTGCATGTGCTCACCTCTCAGGTCAGCATTCAAGTAGATTTCAGGTCAGCCATAGAGTCAAAAGTCAATCCTGCTGCACCCAGAAATACACAAGTATAAGAAAAAGGCTGAGGAAGATTTAACATTCTGTGATAGCAGCATCTACTTGATACTCATGAAAACAAGTGGGCAAAGCGTAGAAGGAGAAGGAAAAGGAGAGGAAGACTTTAACTCCTCTTTACACGAACCAAAAAGAACTCCATACATCTTTAATAACATAACCCAAACATTTTCCAAGCACATTCAGGCAGCAGCTTCCACATCACAACTGCCGAATTTCAGACCTGGTGATACCGGTTTCATTTGTTTTCACTTCCAACCTAAAGTAATGATGTCAAACGCAAGATGTGGCACTAACTTCACTCCATCACACCGATTTCTCATTTACTTGATTCTTCCCACCCTACATCTGTTGAAGAAAGACGTGGATTTTTGCAATACCATTTGCTGCACTTCCCTCTTGCACCTGCTGAAAACTTTGACAGTGAGATGCACACTGCCACAAACATCTCACAGCTATTGTTGGGAAGGAGGAGAAAGAAATAAAGACACACCTGTGGTTATTTAGCCAGCTACGGGTCAGCTAATATTTCGGCTTGATTTGGACAGGACTTTATTGTTTCCACATTGAAGATGTAGGCATGGAAAACATTTTTAATAAAAATATTAAATGTTAAAATAGTTTGGGGATTGCCCAACAAATTTTAGATTTTAAAATGGAAACCAGGAAAAAGTTTAGGCCAGAGCACATTCAAATGATATTGTACTGTTCAGCTTTAAGTTCACATTGCTCTGTAAGGAATCTTGCTCTTGGACACAGTGATATTTGTGGTTTGACAGCATCTCACCAAAATGTCCTTCTTAGCCTACAGGCAGGAAAGTAGGGAGGAAGCAAAATTCTTACAATACTTTATCTGAGACAAAACTGATAATGTACAAGTTAATAGAAAGCATGCAAAGTGAATGTACCCTGTGACATGAATTCTTACATCAGATATGCTTCTCTTAGCAAGGGTAAAAATATTTGGGCAATGTGGTAGAGGCTCACCTACATACATAAAGGCACACAGAGCTCCAGCCTGGAGGGGGAACCCTAGTGGTGCTCTGACAATTAATGTGGATGCAAGGAAGAACACCTGGGGAGTGCAAGACTTACCGTGAGATCTTAGGGGTGGGGAAAGGAAGGAGTCAGTCTGGGAAAAGTAAGAGTGGGAAAGAAGGAGGATGAAGAAAAAGGGTCCACTCCTTTACAAACTAATACAGCCATGCTCTCCACCCAACAAGGAGAACCTGGCCTGCCTTCTCACTAACTTTGCTTCACTCTCCAATTACGTCAGGAATCAAAACTAAAGTTTTACTAAAGAAAGGATTGCACAGGCACAAAAAACAAAACAAAACAAAACAAAAAAACCCGAAACGAAAATTGCTAATGAGAAGGGCACTCAAGACCTCATTCATATTAAAAGAACCAAAAAATTATTCCATTCTACTTTACAACACTGATAAATCTTGCTGAAACATGTTTGTATCTCAACTCAGTTAAGAAAAGAAGTGCACTGCCCACAGCTGGAAAGAAGCCTCACCTCACCCATACCCTGCCCCACTACAAGCAATATCCAAAATACATGGATTTTAACATAAGAGTAGTGAAGAAAGGACCCTCTACTGACCAATTGCAACTGCACTGTAGAATTGGGAAACAAGCTACACAAGTGCTGGGGTTGGACTGTTTGTTTTCTGTTTTTTTGTTTTTTGTTTTTAAGTACTACATTTTGGTGCAATAGAAGTGAAAAAAAGAAAAGCTATCTAAAAAAAGTCTGCCAAGACAGCAGGCAGAAACTGCACGTACTAGCTGGTTTGGTAATAAGAAGTTTTAAATTAGGAGTAATGTCCATGTGAAACACATAAAAGAGACTGCCCATAAATAGTCTTCACAGAACGGTTAATTACACCATATTTTGTAGCTCTTAAAATCTTACAAATGGCAGACAATTCACAGCACTTTTAAGAGAACGTTTTTGTAGTCTTCCAACTAAGTTCTGGTTAAAAACATGGCTAAAAATACAGCTAAGTGTGCAGCTCAAAAAAACCCTAAGCAAGGTGTTATGAGCAATCACCTCACTACTACTGAGAGGTACACAGAGAAAATGTTACAGCATGACACAGCTAAATATACCTCCTGGAAAAACACAGCCTGATGAAGAGACAGCCTGGTGTTTTCCACCCAGTGAGGCAGAACAGCAGCCCCGTAACACAGCCAGCCTCAAAAGCCTGTTGTGACAAGAGGACCAAGCTACTTGCCCTGACTTACGTAACCCAGTGCTCCTCATGGTCATTTAAAACCAGTGTAAAGCTGCATTAAAAAATATCAAAGGACTCACAAATTAATAATAATGTAGGCAGGCAGCATAGGGCAATATCAAACAGGCTTCGGTGCCTTCAACCACCAACTCACCCGGTAGGCAATTCTCCTGGATGGCAAACGCAATTTGCAACAGAACCTGTTTTCCAGAGGATTAACTCCATGCCTGCCCATGCTTAAGCAGATTGAAAATTGTGAAATCCTTCACAACATGACAAATCCCGGGCCAGACAGCAAGAGGATAAAGACCTGCAGAAAGCGCGAGGAAGAGGAGAACGCAGGAAGTAATGGAGGTGCACGCTGGTGTGCCGGTGCTCTGCCTGCAAGCTGGTCTGTAAGGGCAGTTATCTGCAATCAGCTGCACTGTGAACTAATTTCAAATATTTCCCATTGCTGGGATAATTGTTTATCTCTCACTAGGCTCCCTGATCTGGGCAAAAAAGCAAAAGATTTTCTTAGCCTGTCTATAAATCTATTTGAAGCGTTCTGATTTTAGAAACAAAAAGATTACAATTTCAGAGCCTTCTGCCTCACTACAAGGGTTGAACGCATCATTATAACAGACAGAATGGATTTTCTGTACACATAACCAACTGCCCAACAGTTAGGAAGTCACAGTTATTTTGAATTATTATTGACAACACATAGCTTACAAGGAGGAATTAGGGATTAGATAGAATGAAATCTTAACAAGGTCAGGAATCACATATTGAAGCTAAAATATTCATATAAATCAGTAATAAGCATGGTGCAATATTTACAATTTGCAGAATGTGTAGCAGAATCTCACTATGGGAATCAAACAGACAGAAGCTAAGCTGAACCAAAAAGAAACCCTATAAATCTGGTTTAAAACAAGCTCTGACAAGACAACAGCAAAACCACTTCTTATTACTTTCAGTTATAAATAAAGAAATACAAATGAAAGCATGTCCAAACACCATTATGAGCGCATGAAACACGCAACAGGGCTACGGATGGGCTTTGGGATGGGCAGTGTGGAGCAGCTCAGGATGCTCAGAACAGCCCCAGCCCCACAAAGCGGAGCAGCCTTGGAGGAACCAGGGTCCCAGGGAGGCTGAGCCCTGGGGTGATGTGCATTCAGAGTGAGGAGCAGCATGGTGTTCTGACACTGGTAAGGGCTAACCATGTAGCACTGCATTAGCAAGGGCAGGCATAGAGAAGTTGAATATTCCCCTCTGCTCAGGGCTTAAGAAGCATTCAAGAAGTTCAAATAAATTGCAGAGCTGATATTAAAAAATTGCTGGACTTCTAACAAGCTGCCAGCATTCACTGGAATAACATCCAGGGCA